GACGCAGGTTCATGTCAGACCTGATGCGAGTGAGATCCCGGCATTCGAGAGTGTGGGGAAAAGCAGTGGAAGATGGTCCAAGTCCTTGGGCCCCTGCACCTACGTTGGGGACCTGGAAGAGCTCCTGGCTCCTGGCTTCAGATTGGCTCAGCTCTAGCCGTTATGGCCATTTAGAGAGTGAACCAGTGGATGGAAGACCTCTCTCTCTGTCCCTAGCTCTCTCTATAACTCTGTCTCTCAAATGTATAAAATAAATCTTTAAAATTAAAGATTAACAATGATAACTTTTGTGATATGCTAATATTTATACCTAGTAATTCAAACCCAAGCATGATTCCAAAGCCTAGGTACTTAACCACTCTACAGTGCCACCTTTGAACAGTATGAATTCATTTGAAAGAATTATCTGATACTTTGTTTCTGTCTCTCTCTGTCTGTAACTCTGTCTCTCAAATAAATAAATAAAATTTTAAAGAATTATCTGGGGCCTGCGCTGTGGCGCAGTGGGTTAACGCCCTGCCCTGAAGCACCGGCATCCCATATGGGCACCGGTTTGAGACCCGGCTGCTCCACTTCCTGTCCTGCTCTCTGCTATGGCTCAGGAAACCAATAGAAGATGGCCCAAGTCCTTGGACCCCTGCACCTAAATGGGAGACCTAAAGGAAGCTCCTGGCTCCTGGCTTTGGATCGGCACAGCTCCGGCCGTTGCAGCCATCTGGGGAGTAAACCATCGGATAGAAGCTCGCTCGCTCTCTCTCTCTGTTTCTCTCTCTGCCTCTCCTCTCTCTGTGTAACTCTGACTTTCAAATAAATAAATAAATCTTTAAAAAAAAGAAAAAAAGAATGATCTGACGTGCTTCTTATGAGAAGGAAGCAAATAAAAGGCGTAGTTTAGATGAGAAGGAAATGACATGGTCATGAGGTCGCTCACTTCAGCCGTCTTTGTTCCAGGATGGGGAAATGGTGCTTCTGGATGGAGGCTGCGAGTCTTCCTGCTACGTGAGTGACATCACCCGTACGTGGCCTGTCAATGGCAGGTAGGCGTCTACAGAATAACACGTCTCACTGCTTCATGAGGGTCTGAATTGGAATATGAATACACTTGGTATGAAATCCAGAAATACATAAAACCCTTCTAGGTCAGATTAACGATCTTTGCAAAGGTCCTGGGTATTTTCTGAGACTGTTTTGTTCATCATATCACTTTTTTCCTTACTTTTTAGTAAATTCAGGTATTTTCTAATCGCATTAGGTTATTAATATTAAATATTAGGTTATGATAGAATAACCTAATGGAATTAATTAATCCAATCAAGTTATTCTGTTAATTAATATTAATTAATGTTATTTAATATTAATATTAGGTTATGATAGAATAACTTGATTGGATTAATTCTCCTTAGATAACGGTAGTTGTGAAATATGGACAAAATTTAAAAACAACTGTTTGAAGGTGTTGTGGGCTAGATTGGGCCTAAATTAATATCCTAGGCTCTTGCCTTTCACTGAGAGAAGAGTTCTAAGTACAGGCACAAACACAGCATGCAGTGTGATCAGGTTTATTTACAAAGTGAGAAGAATACACAGGCACATGAGGGCTTCATTTAGGGAGAGTGGGCCAGGAAAGGTAAAAGGGGAAATCCATACCCTGCTGTGCTCATCCTGGGTCCTGGGGCCACAAGGTGGAGAGAGAGAGAGAGAACCCCCTCCCCTTCATCAAGCTTCTATGAGCTTTGAAAAGGGGAGTGGTTACATAGTATTGTCCCCAGGTCCCAGGTAAGAAGAGGTATATTCTGGGGAGTGGTCAGTGGATTCACAGGTGGGTTGATAGGGTTACATGGACGTGGGGCTGGTGTGGCCTTCAGTTTATGAACAATCTGTGACTTTTCCTACATGAAAGGCACCAGAGAGCTTTCAAAAAATAGTTAGAAACTATGTAAATCTGCCCCTGAAAGATGATAAATAGAAATTATCTGGTTGATGAAATAGAAATATCACTGTAGAAAAATGAATAAAATCTAAGAGACTGCTGATACATACCTAATTGGAGAGAATAGGGCAGAAAAGATGTTTGAGAAATAATGGTCAAAAACATCCCAGATTTGGTAAAAGACACCAACTTATGGATCCAAAAAGCTCAACATACCCTAAGCAAGATAAACACAAAGAACACCCACCCACTTACAATCATAATCAAACTGCCGACTTCATAAAGACAAAAAAATAATCTTGGAAATAGCTAGAGAGAAATGGAGGAGAGATGCCAGAAACAGCAGAGGCCGGAAGACACTGGAAGCACATCTTTAAGTCAATGTGGTATTCTATTCAGCAAAAGAATCTTCCTTCAATGACAGCAAAGTAAAAGCGTTTTCTGATGAAACAAAACTTGTGGTTGTTGGCTGGTGCCGCGGCTCACTAGGCTAATCCTCCGCCTAGCGGCGCCGGCACACCAGGTTCTAGTCCCGGTCGGGGCGCCGGATTCTGTCCCGGTTGCCCCTCTTCCAGGCCAGCTCTCTGCTGTGGCCCGGGAGTGCAGTGGAGGATGGCCCAAGTGCTTGGGCCCTGCACCCCATGGGAGACCAGGAAAAGCACCTGGCTCCTGGCTCCTGCCATCGGATCAGCGCGGTGCGCCGGCCGCAGCGCACCGGCTGCAGCGCACCGGCCGCAGCGCACCGGCCGCGGCGGCCATTGGAGGGTGAACCAATGGCAAAGGAAGACCTTTCTGTCTGTCTCTCTCTCACTGTCCACTCTGCCTGTCAAAAAATAAATAAATAAATAAAACTTGTGGTTGTTGAGGATGGGCATCATGGCGCGACAGGTTAAGCTGCCGCCTTGGAATGATCTTATCCCACATTAGAGTGCCAGCTGGGGTCCCAGCTCCTCCACTTAGGATCCATCTTCCTGCTAATCCACCTGGGAACGCAGCAGAGGAAGGCCCTAGTGCTTGTGCCGCCACCACCTACTGGGAGACCCAAGTGGAGTTCCTGGCACTGTGGCCATTTTGTGAGTTGAACCAGCAGATAGAAGATCTCTCTCTCTCTCTCTCTCTCTCTCTCTCTCTCTCTCTCTCTCTCTCCCCCTCCCCCTCCCCCTCCCTCCCTCCCTCCCTCCCTCCCTCTCTTAGTCTCTCCCTTTCTGTTACTCTGCCTTTCAAATAAATAATGTTTTAAAAAGAAATTATTTAAAAATTTGAAAAAAATTTGCTGCCAGCAGAATAAGAAATTAACAAATGCTATAAAAATGTTAAAGAAGTTCTCAATCTAGGCCAGCGCCACGGCTCACTAGGCTAATCCTCCGCCTTGCGGCGCCGGCACACCGGGTTTAGTCCCGGTCGGGGCGCCGGATTCTGTCCCGGTTGCCCCTCTTCCAGGCCAGCTCTCTGCTGTGGCCAGGGAGTGCAGTGGAGGATGGCCCAAGTGCTTGGGCCCTGCACCTGCATGGGAGACCAGGAGAAGCACCTGGCTCCTGGCTTTGGATCAGCGTGGTGCGCTGGCTGCAGTGCGCTGGCCACAGCGGCCATTGGAGGGTGAACCAACAGTAAAGGAAGACCTTTCTCTCTGTCTCTCTCTCTCACTGTCCACTCTGCCTGTCTTAAAAAAAAAAAAAAAACGCTATGTATTTTCTTTTTTAAAGATATATTATATGACTGTGAAGTGACGAGTATATCCGAGAAAAGAGAGCGAGAGAGAGCGCT